CAGTCAGCGATGCTGGGCATGCACGCAATGTCGCACATGCGTGATAAGGATTGACTGGGCGGGGAGGGGGGGGCAGAGAGGGGGGGCAGTCAGGGGCACAATTTGCCAGTTCTTTGAACTGCGCGAAATCATAACAACCTGTTCGATAGGACCGGTCTGAACCAGTGGAATCCCACCCCTGACTGTATTGTTTGGAAACATGTGGAAATGGCCTTCATCCTGCAGTGAATAGGACAATGGCCAAAGTAATGATGAGGATGGTATAAAGCAAAAGCTAAAAGAAAGTGGAATGTTTTATTTATTATTATATTAGGCCTTCTTTGATTTATCAATTTGAATATGGGGCAAATTAATGTTGTCTTCTATTTCAATTTACTAGATTAAAAAAAGAGAGGTTCATTTATTCTCATATAATTATACTGGATCAGTTTCAGACATCAGTACATAGACAGTTGGTAACTTGAAGACTTATGGACTTCAACTCCCAGAATTCTCCAGCCAGCACAGCACAGCAAAGCTGGCTGAGATATTCTAGGAGCTGTACAAGTCTTAAAGTTACCAAGTTTGGAGAGCTCTGCTTTAGATCCTTCTTGAAGACAAAATGGAAATCATATACAGAACCCATTGTTTGCCTCCTGCAATGCAAATAAGCTAATGCATTTATGTAAAGTAGCTCTGTGTTCCAGATTTTAAGTTCTAGACTTTTCCATGTTTTTCTCGGTTAACAGAGCCTTGTCTGTTCTCTTGTCTGTTCAAGTACTTGGGAAGGCACTTGAAGAATGTTTTTAATCATGATTCCCTGCAGCCTGGTAATTGCATGGCTACATTCAGTTCCTACCAAAAAGAGAGCAGCAAATGATTTGGAAGCACTTGTGAGGAATGCAGAGATGGTCTTTCTTCAGTCTTCAGTGTCCTTTTTCCTCTCTCAAGCCAACATAATCCGTATCGCTATCTATTGCATTTAGAAGAGTTCTGAAGCTTTTGAGCAGGAGATGAAAGGACTCATTTCTGGATTCCATTGGGAATGGATTAGCACCACTGAATTTCCAATAGGCTTCGGCCTGCTAGTTGTCTTCACTTTTTTTCTGACCAAAAATATATGTTAACGTCCTATCAAAAATACCTTAGTGAGAGTTGAAAGCAGAGGTGGTATTCAGCAGGTTCTGACCGGTTTTGGAGAACCAGTAGCGGAAATTTTGAGTAGTTCGGAAAACCCACAAATACCACCTCTGACTGGAGATTTTACAGTATCCTTCCCCTGCCACGCCCACCAAGCCATGCCCACAGAACCGATAGTAAAAAAAATCTGAATCCCACCACTGGTTGAAAGTCACACTGAACTAAACTTAAAGTGCCAATACAATACAAATAACAAAATATTTAACCAGAAACTTAAGGAAAAACAAAATCAGAATCCTTTTCTAAAGAAAGAGGGTTTTTTGTTAAAAAAATCACTTTTTTCTTATGACAGAAGAGTCTTACTTTATGGATTGATTATGTGCCACCAGGTTGGGATGATCCCTTTGTAGACCACATGGTCTAGATTTTCTCCATGACAATGTCCTTAACCCAATCTTTCATATCTTCTAACAGTGCACTTGTAGTCTACTGTAACTGGACCTACCCACTTCATTGCTGCTTGTCCTTTTCTTTCTCTTCCTCTCTTTCCTTCCACATTTCCCAACATTAGAGCCTTCTTTAGATTGCAAAGTCTTCACATCATGTGCCTGGAGTAACATAATTTGAGCCTGATCATATGTGCCTTGAGCGAGAACCCTGGGTTGATTTGTTTGTTGATACTTTCCTAAATGTCCATAGTATTTTCAGGCATGTTCTCCATATAGCAGTGATGGCTAACCTTTTCGTCGGCGCATACCAAAAGTGTGTGCACATGCGTGCGTGCATGCCTGCACCCATAATGCAATGTGCATGCAACCCACCCAACTCCTGCGCATGCACGTGTGACCCCTGTGCATGCCACATGCCTCTGCACATGCGTGCATGACCCCCCATGCACAGTATGCCTCTGCGCTTCCACGTGCAACCCCTATGTGTGCCATACACCTCTGCACATATGTGTGCATCTCCCCCGTGCCCACTGTGCATGCGTGGCAGATACCCGATACTCAGCTGGCTGTCAGGAGGCACGTGCGCATGTGCTCTGGCTCTGTTCCAAGCGACAGCTCGCATGCTGGAAGAAACGGCTTTGAGTACCACTTCCAGCATGCAAGGCATAGGTTTGCCATCACAGATACATAGCAATAGCAATAGCACTTAGATTTACTTTACAGTCCTCTGTAAGCAGTTTACAGAGTCAGTGTATTGCCCCCAACAATCTGAATCCTCATTTTACCAACCTTGGAAGGCTGAGTCAACCTTGGAACTGGTGAGATTCAAACTTCCAAATTGCAAGCAGCTGTCAGTCAGCAGAAGTAGCCTTCTGTAATGTACTGCATTCTAACCACTGCACCACCACGGCTCTTATCATTGTATACAGGGATGGGATTCTACCAGTTTATACCTATTCGGTAGAACCGGTTGTTAACATTCTAAGCAGTTCAGAGAACCAGTTATTAGAAGATCCTGTAAGGAAGGCAGGAAGGAAACATTCTGGTGTTGCTTACGGAAACTGCCTCTCCGTTAACCCTTATTACATTCTTGGCAGGACTAGACTTCCTGTCTCAGGAACTCCTCTGGAGTTTTTTTTTCACTCCTTTGCTGGTACTTTGCTTGTGTGGAGTGACCATTCAAAGTTACAGTGGCACTGAAAAAAGTGACTTATGACCATTTTTCATACTTACGACTATTGTAGTATCCCCACAATCATGAGAGGCCAGGCGAGGAGATGCGTGCCTTGATGTGAGTGATGTTGAGTTGGCCACGCCCAGCCAATAACATGACCACCAAGCCACACTCATCAACTAAGCCACGCCCACAGAACCGGTTGTTAAAAAATTTGAAACCCATCCCTGATTGTATTGTATATCAGAAAAAATATTCCTTTTATCCTGCTTCTTCAAAGTCTTTTGCTTCCAGGGAACACCATCACTCAACAAAAATCTACACACACAAACACATATACACACAGGCTCTAATAAAGATAGCAGACAACTATTGATTTCAGTTCTACCTATGTTTATTCAAAATTAATTCCATGCTGTTGCAAATCATTCTATGATTTTTAAAAATGCTGATAAAGACTTGGTTATTTTATATAAGGACTTTGCCTGAAAGACACATTGTGGTATTTTATCTAGGTATGTATTTATTATTTTAGTTATATCCATGTCATTAAAAATAAAAACCCTGCCAGGAGCATATCCCAAAATGCAGACAAACATGCAAGCTAGTTAATAATTATTCTGAGCCACCCATTAGACTGTGAGCCATATCTTGGGATGTTCAGTTTGCATCAGAATGTAGACCTAATAAAATCCTTAGATATCCCCATAGCAAAAATGAAAAAGAAAGAAAGAAATATGTGAAGAACATAAAAACCAAAGATGAATCAAAACAGAGCAAGGCTATTTAGATGGGATGTTGAGAAATTGATGTGATACAAGATATCACTATGAATAGTGGATTATGACTTCTTGAAACTTGGGGCATTTTTACAGTCAGAGTATTTCACAATGTCAGGGAAAAATGAGAAAAAAGAGAGAGAAAGAGACTGAAAATAATATTTTTTCTTTAAAAGACAACAATTGATATTGCAACTTTTGGTGGGGGAGAAAAGCAAAAAGACAAAGATTCAAAAATCTGAAAGCGAGAAAATACGGACAAATTGCAATAGAACATAGACTTATATATCACTTCTCAGTGCTTTACAGCCCTCTCAAAGCTGTTGGCAGAGTCAGCATATTGCCCCCAACAATCTGGGTCCTCATTTCACTCACCTAGGAAGGATGGAAGGTTCAGTCAACCTTGAGTCAGTGAGACTCAAACTGCCAAATTGCCATCAGCTGGCAGTCAGCAGAGATAGCCTGCAGTACTGCATTCTAACCACTACACCACCACAACTCATGAGTTAAAAACAATGGATTTGATCATATGTGCCTTATTTACTTCAGCTTTATTAAATGTTCAGCAGTATATTGTCAAAGCTATCATGTAATCATTTGGTAATTATTACCCTTAAAACTTTAAGCTGTTAGAAATAAAATTTACTTGACATGCAAAACTTGGTAAATCGATCAAATGAACACTACTGAATCTGTAAAGTTTCACACATGTAATCATGCACACATACACACACTTCACACTTAATATGCTATCTGAGCCACTTTTTTCAGTTCTAAAATCAATATAGCCTCATCACCTCAGATCCACTGAAAGGATTCTTGCCCCAGATTTCAAGAGATTATGAGCAGATCTGTAATGCTCTAATTATAGCATTTTAAATTCCTAAATTTCTATAACAATCCTGGGCTATGGCCATTTTTCCTGGTTGGTTACCATAACATTAAAAATTAAAATCCAGAAGATGTATTTTTCCAGTGCAGCTAGTCCTCATTTAATGACCACTTGTTCAGCAAAACTACAACAATACTGAAAAATAAGAATTTGATCCTTTAAGTCATAACCCTCAGTGTCCATATAGAATAGAATAGAGGTGTCAAACTCACATCATCACGGCATCGTCATGTGATGTATTGGGATTTTCCCCCCTTTTGCTAAACTGGGTGGGGGCGGGGGCAGCACATGATGCATCTGGGCTGCAGGCTATGAGTTTGACACCCCTGAAATAGAATAACAGAGTTGGAAGGGACCTTGGAGGTCTTCTAGTCCAACCCATGCTCAGGAAGGAAACCCTATACCATTTCAGACAAATGATTGTTCATTCTCTTCTTAAAAACTTCCAGCGATGGAGCATTCACAACTTTTGGAGGCAAGTCATTCCACTGATTAATTGTTCTGTCAGGAAATTTCTCCCTAGTTCTAGGTTGCTTTTCTCCTTTACTAGTTTCCACCCATTGCCTCTTGTCCTGCCCTCAGGTGCTTTGGAAAATATCTTGACTTCCTCTTCTTGGTCACCTGATTGTCAATTGCAACTTTCAGAGACAACTATCTGACACACAATATCAGTGGGGAAGTCCACAGGAGGTCTCCAATTTTGATCATGTGACATTATGTTCCATCCATTATCCATCCATCTATCTGTCTATCTATCTATCTATCTATCTATCTATCTATCTATCTATCTATCTATCTTTCATCTCTATCAACTATCTATCTATGTAATATATCACTTTTAAGAGCATGTTTATAAAAGTGAGGTTCAAAGCATGATGTGTAAGCAGCTGTCTAAATCATCTCATAAAAGACTGAAATGTTTAGTGTTTTCACTGGACCAAGGCATCAATCCTGAATTCACTGTAATAGCAGAAAGCAAGTCATAAAAATTTAAAAGAGGTCTTTAAATAAAAAGAAATTCAATGAAAGCAAACATTGGAGGAAAACAAAGATCTGATCTGGAGCAAAAGGGGTCTTTGCACAGGTAGATGTTAAGAAAGTAATCAATATGCATATTGTAAAGAGACAATGCAATGATGTTGCCTATAAACAATTTATGGCACTTCATGATAGCAAAACAGTGGCATAATAACAAAGATTCAACCCTAGTCCATGTAATGTTTAGGTAAAAGGGTCATAACACAATGAAAGCAATTACTCTTATTATGGGTGATAGCTATGCCCCTTCTTAGAAATAACTTTTTATAAGGCTGGTTTTTGGAAGTTTAATCTTCATAACAGAGAAACAATAATAGTTCCAAAAATCAGAAAATGTGTTGATTCACATATATATGATGTGGAGCAGCTGTTAAACAACAACTGATTAGATAATATCATACAGACACCAAGGAGAAAGCGTTGTATATCTATCCTGGCAGGACAATCTACTGTATGTAAACAGGGAGAAAATCGCACACTCACTAGCACCCATGAAGCTCCATGAGTGGGTAAAGACTGCAAGAGAGCAAGCTCAGAGGGCACCAAGGATTCCAAAGGTCAACCCTGAGCTACAGATTAATCAGGCTGATTTGTAACTAATCTCTTTGTGCTTTCTTCTCATTGCAGGAAGTCCTTTTCACTTGAGGGCCCCCCTCCTGTCAACTCTGAAGCTGACCTGAACAAAGCCATTTTGGCTGCTTCAGTGTTGCCACACTGGAGCCGAGGGATAGGGAGGGGGGATTTGCGATAGAAAGGATTTTGTAGCCAAAATAAAATATTTTCTCTTAGGAACCAAGGACATTCTCACACCTGGTTGATAGAAGACAAAGTGATACCACCCAGTTGCCAGAGCACATCGTGATTGGGCTATGTGACTGATTGTTTTGAGAAAGTAGAAATTCCTTTACTTTTAATTAGATTAAAATCATGGAAGTTTTCAGAGTCGGTTTTCACCAGATCTGTGCCAATATGATATTTCCAATAAAGCTATTCTTTGAGGAATCTACTTGCCTTGGAGTTTTGCTTGATATGGCTCTATAACTTGGAACCCTGACATTTTGCTTCTACCATAACTCAGTTTTTGCCTAGGAAAAGGGAGTTTCTATTACCCATCCAATTATTTGGATGATTACTTGTACAGGGTCAATGAGTCTGAATCTCAGGTACACAGAATTATACCTTAGCTGTATATAGAGCAGTTATTTTTAATGAATCCCATGGAAAACAATACAGTACAAGTGTTGAGTAAGAATGCCTTTTTCTGTCTTAGATTGCCAATTTCTATGTAAGTACCATTATACATGCTAGTTGCTGCTACGTGTTGTGTGTAAGACTGCCTGCATATCACATCACTCATTTATATCTGAGCCCTTGAGCTTTATAAAAAATAATAGAAGTTGCATCATGAAATAAAAATTCATTTGAAGATGTTTTCAAAGACAGCTTTGTAGATGGAAAAGAAGAAAGGGCATTAAGAGCAAGCTTTAAAAGAATATTCAGAAGCACTCAGTTACATAATCAAAATTTCACATCTGCTGAGTTATTTTAATTTAAGGCAAGGGGATAACTGAACTAGTACTTGGCAGTTCATTAATACTTCCTTAAGGAAATTTCTAGACATTCCTATTTCTTTGTTGTAAAAACTCAGGGGAGGTGGGTGGTGTCTTTTCCCCTGCTGTTACACTTTGACAAACCACACACTTTATGCTTCTGCATGTATAATGGGACACACTGTTAGAGGGACTTTGCCATGAGATGTTTCATCAGCATCTTCAATATGTTCGTTTCACATACATATTTTATGCAGCAATGTCAAAATTGATGGTACATATTCACAACCAAATTTTAATCAAATTCAAGCAAGAATGATTCCCACGCACATAATATACAGTGTGGCAAATATAAGAAAATTACACTATGGTTTCTAAGAAACTCTAAATCAGGAGTGCCCAACTCTGGTAACTTTAAGACCTATGGATTTCCAACTCCTAGAATTTTACAGCCAGTCATGGGGAATTCTGGGATTTGAAGGCCACAGATCTTTAAATTGTGGTCTAAATGCTTATGAAGACCACGCATTGGTAGAGGCACAAGAGGGGAGAAGTTAAAAAGGAAATAACTTTCTGTTTTTGTCTTTCTTTTAATGTGCATAAAGAACAATATGTAACAATAGGTATTTTTTTTATTAAGTATTAAGATTCAGAAAGAAATATTTATTATATAACTTAATTTCATATATTTTGTGGTTGTTTATCAGTACCACTTCCAGCTTTAGATGTCATATGTAAGCCGCTTATCAATATTATCAATTTAGAAATCATAGTTAATATTGACTTAGACATTCTTGTATTTATCTTTAAAGGCTTAAGTTATCTAAACTTCAGGGTGTTAATAATCTCCGGCCAGCACTGTATAGATACTACAATACTCAAATAATATAATTTTCTACTTGTGTTTTATAATACCAGAAAAACAAGGAAAAAGTTATTTATGCAATACTTTTAAGTTACACATAGTCATCACAGATAAGATTTGCATCTGATCTTGTTTACATTTTCTCAGATCTTTTTAAAAGGTAAATAATATATTTTAAAAACCTACCAGACACCAGATATACATTTCTGCTCAGGTGGAAAAGCTGTTTTGTTCCAACGACATAGAACCACTATATACAACAACCTTAAGAATTATTTTTATTATATTTGATTCTTTTTTTTCCTATAGAAAATTGTGTGTGGATCATACAAAAGTACTACAAGCATTCCTTATACCTTATGCCCTCAGCTCTAAAAAGATTGTCATTCTTTGTTTCTATTTTTTTTAAAGCAGAGGCTTATTTCTACCTGTGTAGTAAAAATCCACAGTAAAATAGACTTTTTGAATGTTACCAGTTGTAAGACACCCAGTCTCATTTGAAATTGCGGCATACAATTGTTAAAAATACAGTCAATCCATCCTGAGTTTAACGCCAGCATGGAATATATTAAGTGAAATCTTGTTCATATCTTTTTCAATAGAATGCATCTTCAGCTAAGTAGAGTTGGCACTTTGAGGCTGAACATTTTGATGGTTAATCTCATATGGTGTTTTATCCGACAACAACAAAAGGATAAATTCAAAGTAGAGTAATCGTTTTGAAGAGTCTAAAATAAAATTATAGGTGGGCCTATTATGGATGAGGATGATTATGAAGTTATCCATTCAGTTTTGTCCAACTCTTGATGATTCTATCAGCCAGGACTCTCCATGCCTTCTGATCTTGCACTACTTCTTTCAGTTGTTCTATGCTCTGGCTGGTGTCAGCTTTGATGGTGTCCTGTCACCATGTTCATTGTTGTCTTATTTTTCTTTTACCTCTAACTCTTCCATGCATAATTGCTTTCTCCAGTGAATTTCCTCACATGACATGGCCAACATAAGTGAAATGCAGTTTTGTGATTTTTGCCTTCCAGTGACATGTCTGGGGTTATGCATTCCAGTCCTTGCTTGTTAGTTATCTTTGCTGTCCAAGGAATACAGAGGGGACTTTTCCAGCACCACAGCAAAAATGAGTGGATTATCTTTCTCTTGCTTTTTCAAAGTCCAATTTCTACAAACATAAGTAAGTATAGGGAATACGATAGAAAGAGTAACCTACATTTGATTGCCAGGCTGATGTCCTTGTTTTTCCATATTCAGCTCATATTCATCATTACTCTATGACCCAGTGCAATTTGGTTTTTTTTTTTTATTTCTGGGCTGCATTCACCTCTTTGAATGATCTGTGATCCTAGGAAAGTGAATTTTCCCACACATTCTGTCTCTTCACCATCAATTTATATTTTGCTGTTACCATTCCTTACAGTAGTCATGAGCTTGAGCTTTGTGATGTTCAGAAAAAAACCACACCAAAATTCACACTTCTTTGAATTTCTTGATCATGTTCCAGGCCTTCTTTGGTTTCTGAGAGAAGTGTTGTATCATCGGCATATTGAAGGTTGTTGATATTACTTCCTCCTATCTTTCAATAGAAGAAGGGGACGACAGAGAATGAGGTGGCTGGATAGAGTCACTAAAGCAATAGGCATGAGCTTAAATGGACTCCGGAAGATGGTAGAGGACAGGAAGGCCAGGAGGAATGTTATCCATAGGGTCATACTGGGTCGGACACAGCTTCGCAACTAACAACAAAAATCTTTAGCCTGATTTTTTATTCTTCAAGACCTAGCTTCCTTGTGATCGCTTCTCATGAAATAAAGCGGTCATTTGATGACTTTGTCAGCTGAGCAATGGAATGGAAAGATTCCCTCCTGCCTCAAATGTGGGTCTCCTAGAATTGGCCTCAGTTTCTTTCTTACAAGATATCCCAGAATGGACCATTCTTCAACTTGTAGCTATTGTCACTTTGTATAACAAGAGATACAATAGAAAAACTCAAGGTGTCTTCATAATCTCCTGGTTACTTAAAAGAGAGATAAGGCACAAATAAATATAGACAGACTGGTGGCGGCTGCTGAAAGATCTCAGTGGGAAAAGTGAATTATTCAAAACCCCTGTAAAGGAATCTCTAAATGGAGAAGCAGATGTTGCCGATGTCTGGCACAACTTGACAGACTAGCAGCAAACTCTATTGCACAGGCAGTTTATTTTGTGGGGGATTTGATTGTGGGAGGTGTTATGAATTGATCTGAATATTTAACTTCGCCTTTCAGAAAGCTTTGAAGGAATTGTTTTTCGCCTAAGCAAGAATGCAGCGTGGGCCTCTTTGTGCGTGTGCGTGTGTCCACATTTCTTTCCCATGAACATTTTAAAACCCATTACCTTTTTTTTTTATTCTTTTTCATCTTTGGGTATGTAAATATGGCCCTTCTGGTTCCCCTTGCCTCAGTCAGAATCAGAACAGACCTGGAAGGGATCCTGAAGGTCTTCTTGTCCAACCGTTCAGTCTTTTCCTAAAATCCTCCACTGATGAAGCACCCACAACTTCTGGAGGCAAGCTGTTCCACTGGCTAATTGTCCTCACTGTTAGGAAGTTTCTCCTTAATTCCAGGTTTTAATTCCCCTCTCTGTGAGCTTTTTATTCCAGGGAATACTTAAGTGGAAAAGTAATAGGCATTTCAGTTGTGCTTGCATTTGTGCTGTGTTTTAACTGTACACTATCCCAGTTGAACAAAGGATGGCTTTTTGCACCTAAAAATATCTTGCTAGATGTTTCCTAATTGAGATATCTAGAAGCACTGTCTTTGAAAATGGCACATTGTACAGATTCCTACGTAGTCTTTTTCCTTTCTTTATTCTTTCTCCATTTTCATGTGTTTGTTTCCCATTAATGACAGGCCTATCAATCTCTCCTGCATGTCAGCTAGACTTATTTCTCCCTAAGGCCTCAGCTAACAAGTTATTTAAACGCTAACTCAAGTAGTTGAAAAAAAAAACCCTAAGGCCATAGAGAAGACAGGAAGGCCTGGGGCATATGGAACATGTGGATATAGGTATTCATATAGGGAAGGAAGGAAGGAAGGAAGGAAGGAAGGAAGGAAGGAAGGAAGGA